TTTATAAGGTAACTTTCTTAGTAAATGGCTCTTTACTGAAGATTCACCTTGGGGGTGTCAGTTTGATAAGCTATTTTAGCTTGGTTCCAAATGGGTACCAGAGCAGAGTTTCCCTATAGCTTCTTCAGCTAATCAATGAATTTTGTCATCGTGTCTATGATGGCAGGTCAGAGAGACCTTCTGTCTCAAGGAACCACAGGGGGAAGGAGGTATTCTAGTGGCCCAGCTGCATGTGGTATACACAGAAGTAGGGGTGGGGCACCCACTGTGTAGCCACTCCAGCACTGGAAATGGTGGCACTAGAAATGTAGAACACTATGGATATTTCCTTAGCAGTGGCAGCACACCTTGTTCCCAGCACGGCTGACTAAGCAGCTCAGGCTGATTAAGGCAGAAGCTCAGGCCAATTACAGAGGTAGCCTGGGATGATTATACAGCTTGGGCAGGTTAGGGTTGCTGCTTGGCTGACTGTGTAGCTAGGTGGCACAAGGACAGAAGCTTAGCTTCACCCCCAATATGTCACCCATGCTTTAGCAGTTTGGCATCTGGGGCATGAGGAGAGAATGTAAGTTTATTCTCTGGAACAAAGCTATGGTACACATTCCAGGAAACTCTGTTACCTGGGCTCTAAGCCTATCCTTACTGTTCCTAGGGTTGCCAGCATTGGCTTCTATGTTACCAGTGTCCACAGGAAAGGTGCCTGTTGTAACTCTCCTGTTTACCCTTTCCTCATGTTGGGTACTACCCCTGGTTGGGGAACCGAGGTTGCAGATTTTGGTGCACTTTACTTTCTATGCCATTATCCCAAGTCTCTTGTTTCTAACAGGGTTTCCATCTCTCCTTTGATGGCTTCCAGTGCTGCTGACCTTGAAATGCAGCTACTTTGGTTCTTTGTGGAAGAGGAGGTGATTGCTAGACACTTCTGTTCTGCAGTTTTGCCCTCTCTTCTGTCACATTTATTTTGATCCTCTTTTATACCTTATTCATTTTAAGGAAATGAATTTTGCCAATCTTTCTTTTCTATTCACTGGCCTTGCTCAATAAATAATATCAATATTAATTATTACAGTTTTATAATTAATCTTGATAGCTAGTAGAATAAGGCTTCTCAATTATTCTAGAATTATTCCTTCTCAATTATTTTAGAATCATCTTTTTGTTGATACTGCATTACTCTGTAGGTTAATCTGGGCAGTACTGACATCTTTAGAATATCCACAAATACAAGGCATATCTCATTTATTCAGCTGGTTTAATATTTTTAAGAAAGTTTGATACTTATAAGTTGGATGATGAACTTGTGGGTGTTCATTTTGTGGTTATGTTTCATAATTTAAACATATGAATCGTGTGGCAAATATAACCTTTTAAATATGTAGATATATTTTAAGTGTGATGCAACCATTTAAAATAATGGTGCACTTATTGATATGAAAGTTCTATAGCATATTAATAAGCAAGAAAATCCTTTTCCATAATAGCATATGTTTTATATAAATGCCACTTATTTAAATATATGTAAAATTATGGATGTGGAATATAGAGAGATTTTGGAATGCTGTAAAAATGAAGAATCAGATAAAGGGTATATTTCATATGGAGAAACTTCTGGAATGGACATTTGAAAGTTTACTGCTCTATAAAAGCAATAAGAACATTGGCAGAATAGTCAAAATCCAATTTTCTGAAAATTAAAGAATCAAAACATTCTGGGAAATATTTATTCAAAAATATCAGCTGGACCAAGGTAAGAAAATTAAGCTTCATGGTACTTCAAGTTGCTCTAATATCATTTCCCTTTCCCTTGATCCACACTAGCTTAAAAATCAAGACTATCACTACTTTCATAGCTGTGATACCAGCAATGTAGAAGTTACTAGAAGGAGTAGAATGGGTTTAGTGTTCCCTAAATGTCCCATCTCAAGAAGTTTGACACTACTCGACCTGTCTGGCAGCACATTAAAGAAAAAAAAAGTGAGATTCATTCCCAGGACTAGTCTTTATTTAAACTGGATCAGTGTGCACTCTCTGTATTTGTCAAAAATAATGAATGACAAATGTTTAACTCTGCCCAAAGTGATATTACCATTGGGGTTAGAAGAAGCATCCCATAAAACTAGAAAAATTGGAGAATGCGATGTCCATATGAGACTTCATATATATTCCTGGAAGTCTAGAAATCTATGTACACATATATGTGTAGACAAGACCTGAAAAAGCTCTAATATCTCACCTTTGGATGAACTTAAGACTCTGTGAAAGTAGGAAGTGAAAGCTTAGGCAGATTGTACACTGCCTGCCTGAGACTGAAGGTAGACACAACACAAAGCCTTTTAGCAAAGACTAGGATAATTATTGGTTCAAGGCACGTAAAGAAAACTGTTCAATCATTAACTGACTATTAAGTTAATTAAGCAGAGATGTCATTAGCTATATTGACTTGATATTCAAAGAATATTGACTTGATCTTCTTAGTTCAGATAAATCACTGAAGACACAATAACAATAAAATCTGTATGGTGATAGGGGATTAAGTATTCAGAGATTGCACATTATATTATTTAAATGTCCAATTTTCAGTAAAAATTAAGAGGCAAGAAAAGAAGAAAGACATTGTGGTCTATACAGAGGGGGGTAAAAAGCAATGAATAGAATCTGTCCCTGGAAGTCAGACATTGGACCTACTATACAGATTCTACATCAGCTATTTTAAATATGTTCAAAGAGCTAAAGAAATCATTTCTGAAAATTGAAAGAAAGTATATCTTGCCAAATAGAGAATATCAATAAGCAGCAGGAAATTATTTTTAAAACACTAAATAGAGACTCTGGAGTTGATGATAATAATTGAATGTAAAATTTATTGAAGGGGCTCAACATTGGAACAGTCAGAAGAATCAGAGAACTTGAAAATAGATTGATAGGTATTTTACAAATCTAAGGAATAATAAGAAAAAAAAAGAGCAAAGAGGACTATGTGACACTACCAAGCATACCAACAAATGTATAATGGGGGCCCCCAGAAAGAAAGGAGAAAGCAAAAGGAGCAGAAAGTTTATTTGAAGAAATAATGACTAAAAACTTACCAAATTTGATGCAAACTTTTATATATCTGAGAAATTTGACACACACCTTGTAGTACAAACTCAAAGTGATCCATACCTACATTCATTGTCAAACTGCTGAAAGACAGAGACAGAGAGAATCTTGAAAGTAGCTAGGAAAAAATGACTCATAATGGTAAAGGAATTATCAGTAACATCAATAGCTTACTTTTCTAGTCAGAACTATGGACACCAGAGAGCAGTGAGATTACATGTTCAATGTTCTGAAAGAAAAATTGTTAATCAAGATTTCTATATCCAGAAAAAAATATGATTCAAAAAATGAAGAGGAAATCAAATTCCAAGATAAATCGTAACTGAATTTGTTTCTAGCAGATATGCCCTGCAATAAATGCTAAAGGGAGAATGTCATGATGAAAAGAAGGGACAATAGATAGTAACATGAATCCATAAGCAAACACAAGAATATTAGATAACTACACAGATAAATATAAAAGACAGTATGAAAATGCTTTTAAAATAATTCTTTTAATGAAATCTGATTTATTGAAAAAGAACTGCATAAAGCAATAACTATAAAATCATGTTGAGGAGCTTATAACATACAAAAATTAATATTGTGTGATAATATTAGCACAAAGGAGGTGTGAGCAAACCTCAACTGGAGTATAGTATTTTTACATCATTGAAATTAAGTTGTTCTTTTTCTGAACTAGAAGGTTTTAAGTTATTATTTTTAATACCCTGTGGGTAACCACTAAGATAAGTAAAAAATATACATACAGTAAGAAAAAGTTCTCAAATTAGATTGTCACTAAAAATCAGAAACAACAGGGAATTCAAATAATACATGGAAAATATCTATTAAACAGAGTGGGAACAGTAGCAGAAAAAAAGAGGGACAGGAGACATCAGATAAAGGAATAGAAAAGGACATGCACAAATATTATCAGCTATTATATTAAATGTAAATGGAAGTCACACTTCAACCTAAAGCCAGATATTGGTAGATTGAATAAAAGATAAGATGCAATGATAGTATTAGAGGCACACTTTAGATATAAAATTCAAATAAGTTAATGGTAAAAGACTGGAAAAAGATACCACATATTAAAGAGAGTTAAGTGGCCATACTATTATCAGACAAAATATACTTTAACCAAATAACACGAAGCAAAAAAGAACATCATAAGATAAGAAAATAATAAATTCATACCAAAATTATCAAATGCAATGTGAAGGAAGTTTAAAACTGTAATTAACAAACTGCTGAAAATTCATAAGTGTAAGCAAGGTTTGCAGTGTATTATCAAGATACAAAATCAATTGTATCTTTATATACTCTCAATGAATATTCCAAAATGAAATTAATAAAAGTAATTAAGATATTAAGAAAATAACTCCACTAGGAATGATAAAGAATCAAATATTTAGGAAAATCCTTAAGAAAAGAAATGGAAGACTTTTTTACATTGGAAACTAGAAAATACTGTAAGAATTATTGGTGAACCTGAGGAGAAATTGGAACCTCCAAAAGGTTGCTGATGGGAATGTTGAAGTTGCTTTGGAAAATAATTATGATTTCTCAAAAGTTAAAAAATGACCCAGCAGTTCTAAATATATATACAAGAATACTGAAAACATAAAAACTTGGACACAAATGTTCATAGTTGCAATATTATTCTTTAGAGTAAAAAAGTAGAAACAACCCAAATGCATGGATAAACAAATGTAGATTAGTCATCTAATGAAATATTATTCATTGATAAAATAAATGCTAATAAAAAATAAATTTTTTTTTAAAAAAAGTACTGACACATCTTGCACACAGATGAACCTTGAAAACATTATACTAAGTGAAATAAACCAGTAACAAAGGCCATATATATAAAATTCCATTTATACTATATGTCAAGAATGTGCAAGTCCATAGAGGCAGCCTAGCAATTGTTTTGGGCTGGAGGAAGGGGAGAACAAGGAGAGACTATTAATGAGTATGGGCATTTTTTTGGTGAGTGGGGTGAGCATGATGAAAATGTTCTCAAATCATATTGATGTGATGGTTGCACATCTCTGTGAGTACCCTGAAAATCACTGAACTGTACACATTAAAAAGTTGAATTTTATGTTATGAAAATTATGTGTTCCTAAAGCTGTTATTTTAAAAAAGAAAGGAAAAAAAGAAGATCCACACATGCCTGTAATTCCTGTGATGGGAGGCTGAGGCAGAAGGATTGCAAGTTCTAGGCCAGCCTAAGCAAATTAGCAAGATCCTGTCACAAAATAAAAATAAAAAAGGGTTAGGATACAGCTCAAGGGAAGAGTGCCTCTAGGTTCAATCCCTAGTACCCCCCCCCCAAATATTAATAAAAATTTTTTAAAAGAATGCATTTTCAGGTCCTTTTCAGGTCTGATACTTTATTTTAGGACACATCCCCCAAACATAAACGAAGCCATAGCAATCTTAAACAATCCACATGATCATCCTTTAAAGTAAGCATTTTTTTTTCTTAGTGTTATACGTACAAAGTAAGAATTTTTTCCCCAGATATTTTACATGTACAAAAACTACAGGAGAGTGGCTCAACTGTAAGACCCTATGGTCAAGCCAGACTAAGGAAGTGACAGCCATTGGTGAGTCTGACCCATTTTATGACCCTGGAGTTAGAAAATAACCTTCTTCTTTGCTTTCTAGAAAGAGAGGATATTGCCTACTCTTAAAATTGTACAGATACCACATCCCTCATTATGCTGAAATTCTCTTCTGTTTAATTGGGAAGTTTCTGGTGGTTATTCCTGGCTATTCTGGACTCTTGGCAATTATAAGATAAGTATCTGGGCACTTTGGCCTCTGGAAGGAGAGAGGTCCTGTACTGAAGCATCATAGCATAGGTGAGCAACGTGGAAATGTGTAATTTAAAAATAGCACTTTATTTTGCATGTATATAACTCTAAGTAAATTTTATTTTATACACTTAATATAAAACATAATCTTCTGGATACATATAATCTACTGGTATACTACAGTAGAGAAAATTAATATATCTATCATCTATACAGTTGTCCATTTTATTTTGCTTTTGTGACAAGAGCAGCTAAAAATTGCCGCATGAATCCCACAGGTAGTACCATTTTATTACCTGTAATATTCATATTGTATGAGAGATCTCAGACTTGTTCATCCTTCATGTATGCAACTGTGTCCTCTGACCTACATCTCCCCATTCTTGCCACCACCCCCCATCTTTGTTCTCTATCTCTGTATATTTGTTTTGTTTGTTTATTTCTGCATATAAGTGATATACAGTATTTTTCTCTCTGTGTCTGGCTAATTTAAAAAATAATTTTAGAGGAGGAAAAGTTTATTTGACACATTTTCAGAGATCTCAGCCCTAGGTGAGACAGAACATCATGGCAGAAGGGTGTGGTGGAGGAAAGCAGCTCAGGACATGGCACCAGGAAGCAGAGAGAGCATTTCACTCAATGAAGGAAAAATATAACCCCCCCCCAAAGGTACACCTTTAATGACCCACATCCTCCGGCTACATCCTACCTGCCTATAGTTACCATCCCATTAATCCCTATCAGTGGATTAATGCACTGACTAGGTTAAAGCTCTCATAACCTATTCATTTCACCTTTGAACTTTCTTGCATTGTCTCACACACGGGCTTTTGGGGGAAAACTCATATTAAATCGCAATAGTGCTGCAATAAGCACGGAAGTGCAGATATGTGTGTGCATGTATCTTGCCAAGATCCCTTTCACTTGGTTTAATGTTCACTCCTTGGACCACTACACAGAGCACTCATTGGGCACTTCACATTGACTTGGAGGATCAAAGCTGACTCTGACTCTCTTCATGAAGCCCTTTTGTGGAGACATTCTTAAATAATTCTTAAAGAATTGCCTGCTGAAAATTAACTTCTAGAATGAGAACAGTTCTCAAGTGTGATTGTGGTTTGGAAGACCCAATCACTGGAGTCTCTCTACCTGATATTGAGAGTCATGTGTGGGAGGCTTGATGGTGGAGTTATTCATTCAAAGGAGAGTAGATGCCAGGAAAATAGGCCAAGCCTTGTATTAGGTTTGTGGCCCTGGAGATCCAGGTGGTGAACAGTAATGAAGTGGGCACTGGAGGGTGTTGAAGAAGATTCCAGGGGCACAACCCAGAAGTAGATGTTGGGGGAAGAGTCTTCTTGGGGAGGTAGACCTGTACAGCCATGGATCCATGTGGTCCTTTTCACTAGTAGACCTCTTCCTGTAGAGTGGCCAGGGGAGAAAGAGAATGTGAGACAACACTCAAAAAAAGGTGATTTGATAATCTCATGGTCATTTTAAATTTGTTCTCAGGAATCAACTCTTGCTCCTACTCCATACATTTCAAAAGCGACAGATGTAGGTTTTCTTTTTTCATTTTAAATCAATTTTATTTGCTGGTTTGTTTGTTGAGTTGGGCTCTTGCTATGTGGCTCAGATTGGCCTTGAACTTGTGATCCTCCTGTCTCCACCAATTAAAACTATTTTTTAAATGTCTCAGAAGAAAGCTCAATCTTTGCCTTCTGCATGGTCTTCCAGTTACCTTAAATGAAGGGTTAATAATGGAAGGGGAGAGAGAATGGGAAAAAAAGAAGAGATGGGATAATGAGGGAAGAGGATCCACTGCCCTAAACGAGTCTTTTACTTATGGCTAACTGCCATTATTCTTGAAATTCAATTCCCTGTCAGTTTGTCACATAGATGAATTCTCTTTATTCACTCTACTCTGACACTGTTCATCCAAGGGTTTCCTACTTGTTTTTAATTCTGAAGGGCTAAGTTCCATTTCCCTAAATGTGAAAAGTGGTATTGCTTCTTTGTTGTCTACGTAGAGAAAACTGTCTCTGAATATCCAAAATCTATTAATCAATCAGGGAAAAACTGCTATGATTCTAAGCATCTTCTCTCCCTTACCAAAAGGGACCCGACCATGACAACTTCCCTGTCTTCCCAAAAGGGTCTGCCAACATCCTGTGCCTCCTCTGACCTTTCAGAGGAAGAACATCAGGACACTGAGGTAAACAGCCCCCATCATCACCTTCACCCCACAAGGATCCCCCAGAAGGGAAGAATTCACAGCCAGCCACATGAAACAGGCTAAAAGTGGAAAAGTAATAAATGTTATTTTCCTGCTTAGGAGCACATTACAAAAATAGAAGCTGAAAGTTAAAAAAAAATGAAACATTTTCTAGAATAATATGGTGCATAGAATTGAAATTTCTGTAAGTATTTTGGTTTTAGGAAAAAGAAAACATTCTTAAAATTTTCACAACATCCCAAGTGTGGGATACTAAAATCCTTAATAAACATCATCTTTTCATTCAGGACAGCTCTCAACAAACATGACATGGTCCTTGGTTTCCTCCACCTCATCATCTTCTGATTAAGAGAAATTTTCAGCGAGGTCCACCTGGACTTCTTTATAGCTAACCTGTAATTGCCTCAGCAACTAGGCTAGGTGAGGCTTAATTGGATAGCATATCATTTAAAATATTTTTGCATGCTCTCCTGCAAATTATTTAAAAATAAGAGCAAACAAACAAACCTATGACCCCTGCATTTGCTCTTAGAAAACACAGCTGCCAAAGGAAGGACACAGGTTTCCAGATACACCATTTGCATGGTCATAGGGAATAGTGAGTTTCCCTGCTGAGGCAGGAACAAGTCAGGCACAAGGAAGCCTGACTGCAGGGACTCAGAGGTAATAGGCTGGCTGAGAAGCAAAGACATGCTCCTCATACCAGGGGACTGTGTGCAGCTGGAGTTAGCTCACATCAGATGAGATGTCACACTTTCAGAAGCAGTGGAAAGGCATTTAACTCAGCCCAGATCTCTGCTGTGTATGCTCCCTTTCCCCAATCATCGTGTCTGTGCTGAGTGCTGAATTTATAAAACACCACGGCGGGGCTGTCAGGTTAACAGCTGCTGGGAATTGGAAAAAGAAGAGGTGAGATTGTGTGTGATATTGGGATCTAGTGAAAGCAGGATAGACCTCTTCTTCCTATTGCATTAAGATAGTATGTTGGGACAGGGCAATGCCCAGGGCCTGAGGTTGCTTGATGTTTTCTGCATATAAAGAGGGTTATCTTGTGGCTGGTGCTGAGCAAAATGTAGAATGCAAGATGCTAAAAGGCTAGAAATCTCTAGATACATTTTCACAGTGGAGTTCTAGAAATATTATTTTTGGCTTTGCTGCCCAGTCTGGAGTGTGACGTATAGTGGGTATTGTAGGCAAGACAGGACAGGGTACTATTATGTTCAGCTACAGAACAGAATACTTTACTAGGTCCCTAGTTTTGTCATTCTTGTAACACCTACTACTCTACTCTCTGTAAGGTAGTCCGGTTCAATGTCTACTTTATCCACATTCACTTGTCTTGAATTTATAAAAATGGCCTAACTCTGATGATTCCAACAGCCACCCCATCCTGTCTCTGCTCTTTCTCTACTCCAGTGCTACCTGCCACCATGTGCCACACACTGTGCTTGGTGCTGGGGATATGTACAGTGGTTCGGTCCCTTCCCTAAGAATTGTCCAGTCTTTATAGGAAAACAATCAGACAAGAGACCAATTAGCTACAATCCAACAAGAGTTGCCAAAGATATGGCTGAGGTGCTGGGAGAGTATCAAGCATTCTTTACCTACAATAAGCCCTTGAGATTTTTAATTATTGATTTTAAATCCAGGGTTATAGTTTCATTATCTGTAAATAGCTAGCTAATTTAAATATTTTGTATGACTCAAGACAACTTTTCCCTTATACTACTTGTTCCCTTACATTTGATTAATACCTACTCATTAGGTACCAGATGCCCAGTTCTACCTCAGGCAAATTGAAGAGGGGGAGGGAATAGCTGGGAAGACCTGGAGCTACAGGCCACGCCTTCACTCAGGGAGAGGAAGGAAAGCTTAATGTATTTCCAGCACATTTCAGTTTTTAGTTGAGGCTGATTCCCTCCTAGCCTGTCTATTAGGATTTGATGAATCCTTTAACTACATTTTTCATTAGACATCAGATAACCAGAAGACATATGGTGCTAATGTTCCCCAGCCTTTTATGAACAGAAGCATCTGGTAAGCAGAACAAAATTCTTAAAAAAGGAACAAGTGAGCCTCGGGGGATTGAAGTTGTTATCAGTCAGTCCTGAACCCTTTGTCCCTCACTCCTATCGTGAACTAGGTAGGAGAAGTGCAGGGAGAGTACTCAGGATGGGATGTGCTTTATCCTTGTTGTCTCTGCCTTCCTTGGGATGTACCTGGCTGGTACTCATGTTACTTGTGGCAGGGACAGATGCAATCCTCTCTGGCCCTATGGACCCCCCTCATAGCAACACCTATGCAGAGACCCTGTGTCCAGTGGGGTGACTGTGAGAGGCTTCAGGAAGGTGGAGGGGCTGCTGGTTGGTGTTGGGCGAGTGGGTTGTGGGTGAGGAGTGGTGGGGATTGGCCAGACTGCCCTCATGTTACTCCCTTTGTTCTCAGAAGCAGCCCACATCTCATTTTGTAAATTAAAACTACAATGACTAAGCTTGGAACAAGTCCAAGCAACCAACTGGAATGATTCACAATCTCATTGAAAGTGAATTTTTTTTCTCAACCAACTAATTTCAAATTAATTGGGTTCCATTTCTGTACCTTGTTTTGTCTACTGCATTAAACAAATTCCCCAAGACCTCCAGGGCCACCTCTGTTTCACTGGAAACCTCTATTGTAATACACTTATTTTTATTGCATGCTGAGTATGTTACTGAGGGTTGCTCTAAGCACCTTGCCTTTATCATAGAACTTGAGCTTTGCAAACAACATATTTCCCTTCTGGAAACTGAGGCTCAGAGAGGTTAAGCCATCTCCGTGAAGGTGAAGGTCTATTCAACTAGTGAGTAGCAGAATGAGGGATTTAACTCCTGCTTCTCTGACTCCAGCACTGTCCTCTGTTCTTGCCATTTTTTGATATGTGAGGTGTCTAGGTTTTCCCCTTACCCTAATGTGATGTTAGACAATGACTGATAAAGGTTGAGGATTCCATTGTGCCAAGCTAATGCTCCTGGAAATGATTCAAAATGTGCCTTTTACAGTCACATAATGCTGAAAAGAACGAAGATAGTTTTCTTACATGGAGTTAGGTAAACCTCAAAGGACTCAAGAGTGGGTATCAGCCTGAATTTTGCATTTTGACAGGGGGAATTCAGGACAGCATTGACCTGGTGCTCCCAGAAGTTTGACTTCATGGAGTGGAACAAGAGGGCATGACCAAGGCCAGCTTGCAGTGCATTCTTGGGCCAGTGCTGAAGCTACAGGAGGAAACTTACTGCCAAAGCCTCAACCCCCATGTACCCTGGAAAACATTTCATTCTCTTTTAGAGCTATATTTTAAACATGAGGTGAGGGGTCCTAAAGAGGAAGGTATAGCAATCAGTCTTCTGAAAGGAATGAAGACTCCAACATCCACTGACAAAATGTGCCCTATTAGGCAGCTCAAATAAATAATACTGTCTGTTGATTTCTTTGTAAATTGTTCAAGACAGTGCTGCTGGACTGTTCCTCTTCATCTGTAGGTCCGGATAAACAGCTCTATTTCATCTCCTGATTTACTAGTCCTTGGGAGGGGAGGTTATCAGATCTAAGCCTAAAGGAAATGCAAGTCCTCTTCTTCCAAGCTGTGCATGAAGTGTAGTTTTATCCTTGTTGTCTCTGCCTTCCTTGCTACTCAGCTTTGAGAACAAATCATCCTGCTGACAATGTCTGACACAGCTTTGTCCATTCATACAAGTGCTCATAGTGTCTCCTTGCAGAGGCTCCTTCTGCCTCCCAGTGACTAATCCCTCGCTTTCTGTTTATCTAAATGCTTCCAAACATACTATCATATTTAATCCTCACATCAGCTCTCTAGGGGTAGGCATTGTTATTCTTAGATGATGAAACTAAGGTTCAAGTTCATGTAGCTTATAAAATGCAGCGCTGGAATGCAAACTCAGGACTGTCTGACCTCAAAGCCTATGCTTCTTACCCATGACGCCACACTGCCTTCTACAAACATGAAAATGGAGGCCTGGAGAGATGCATGGCCTTAGCATAGAACCAGTAATGGAATTCACAACTGATTTTTAAATTTTATTACAAATATCTTCCTTTGAATCTTAAAAAAGTAGTAGGTTTTTTTTTGTTATTCACTCATTTTTTAAATAGTTTTTATTTTTTAGAACAATTTTAGATTTCATTTA